AAAATAATAATTCAATACTATAGACCAGTGGTTCCCAAACCTGTCCTGGAGGACCCCCTGCCCAGCACATTTTGTATGTCTCCCTTATCTAACACACCTGATTCCACTCATCAGCTCGTTAGTAGAGACTGCAAGAACTAAATTGGGTGTGTCTGATTAGGGAGACATACAAAATGTGCTGGGCAGGGGGTCTTCCAGGACAGGTTTGGGAACCACTGCTATAGACTATACGTTTTTAAAGGTAACAAATCTTTTGGAGCCTAAAAAAATGCCCTTATGACATAAATGCATTTTATTTTGCTAACTTTTACTATTATTCTAGGCAAATTTAGGAGTTAAAGTCATGGAATATCTGGTCATAGAAAAATGATCTTGTAACGCTTAGTTAAAGATTGTCATCATTAAATGCCTTAGCGACTTATTTTGACCTTTAAAGTACTATGTCCTTAATTGTGGGTCACAGTCCTGCAGTGTGGCTGTTCTTACAGCTGTCTAGTAAAGAACCAAGCAGACTGCTTTTGCCCAGCCACATCTGACTCCAGGCTTTAGACCGTTATCATTAGTGCAAGTCAAGTCTCCTTTATTTATATAGTGATTTATACAATACTGATTGTGTCAAAGCAGCTTTACAGGGTCAAACAGGAAAATAATTTGTCAATAATGCAACAGGACAATAACAAACAGTCATTTGTCAAGGTAAAGTCAGTTCATTGATGATTCAGTGATGTCATCATCCAGTTCAGCTCTCTTCCAATAGTAGTTCCAATAGCAAGGACAGGAAATGTTACGTCCCTTACTATATTGTGATACCTGCGGCAACCACATGTGACGACCCCGGGCTGGACTCTGCTTCGTCCACGGTGAAAGCCGATCCGGGGATCGACAGCGCGAAGTTGAAGTAGTTCCTCAGCGACCAGCACGGATCAGCTCTAGGCATGACGAAGCGATATCGTCCTCTTTTGGAAGGCTAAACAAAGTAGTTTCGCTTTCACAACAAAACACACAGCGCCTTCATGACATGGCGGCGGCGGCAACAATACTACAGCGAGAATAAAAGTTACGCCTTCTTTCTTTGCGTGAACATTTGGGCGGCGTTATGCAAATCTTCCCAGATAGTGATGTAGACATGTGGGGGCGTGTTAGAACGAGTCGTTTTAGTAGGTGTGGCTGACTCTTTACTTTTATAAAGAATATCTCTTTGGATTTGAGACTTTAGTCTTTGCAACTTTGCAGATCTTCTTTATGCACCAAGAGCTTGTAACACTCCAAAGAGAAAGGAAAAATTGAAATCGCATCATATGACCCCTTTAAATGGTGACCGTGATACTTGATGAGGCAAACATAATTGCATTCCTTCATTAACACACTTAATTGGGGTGAGGACCTAAACATGATTTTCAGTGAACTTTTTCTTTAATATTTGTTAGTGACATTTCACAGCTCCATCTTGGCAAATTGAGGCAATGTAATTTTAAAATCACAACCAAAAATTACAATGGGATTAATACAAGAGGAAAGAAACCTCAAGGAAACCCCACAATTCATATATGATTTGTTTTCATTTCCAATAAACCAGTCTTCAAAAGAATTCCTCAACCACATCAAATTCACAGTACACACGCTCAAGATTTCCAGTATTGCGTTCTCTCAATATTTACTGAATCCCGCTGCTTCTTTCCACTAGCCAAGATCCGCAGAGCCTGTAGTTTACTTTGTAGAACCCACATTTCCAGTCACACTCCAGTGGTTTTGTAATCTGAGCCTGTACGGATAAGTAATGGCTAAGACTGTACGAAATAAAAGGTAAATGGAAAAACGCAGCCAAAAGCTTCCAGAAAATGTATACACCCCCAGACAACACGCTGCTCATGTCTGTGGACATGAGCTCAAGTGGGCCAGTCTGATGATTGAAGGTGATCACTTCTGACAGTGCAGCGTTTTATCTGGACAGAATATACAGTATGTTTCATGTTCTGCTTCAGATGCTTTCTCCTTGTGCTGCTCAAATTTCTCAGGGGGAGGCAATGCAGAAATAAGTTTGTGACCTTAAAAAGTTCATCTAATATCCTGAGCGTTAACTGCACTGGAGCTTGAAATTAATGTTGGATTTTCATTTCAAGAGCATCAGCAAAGTTAAGTGTCTTGGGGAAAAGGCAAGTCCGTCTGAAATAGTTGGCAATACCTAACATGTGTGTCATAATGTGATAAAGAACCTCAGACACCGAAGGCAACTGCTAGGTAGCGTTAGGGGGGGGATCATTATAAATGATTAAAAACCACTCCTTCAGTTGGCAGCATTTTTATTCATTCCACTAACAGGATGTTGCGTAAACACCGAATTCAGATGTGCCTTGTTGCCTTTCTAGCTCCATATACACTCTTAAAGGCAGCATTTTTCAGCAATAGTTTCATCATGCACTGATTCACCGGGAGCGTGATGACTTGACCCTGTAAAACGCTGAAATCTTACATTTATGGTTACTCATATTAGATGCATCTAAACAGCATCTGATCCCTGCAGCTGTGTTCACCAGCTAAATAATTGATTGTTATCTAGAGTTCAGCATTGCTTTTGGCCTTATGACTCATTTGTGGAAATTGCACTGGAAATGTTTTTTTCTTCTTTTCTTTATGCTCTTGGTCTCAGTGCACTTTATGGAGAACAAATTGGCCATCATAAAACATTCCTTGAGAGAGAGGCTGCATACAGAATAGAGCCACAAGGCAATTAGGTTTTATGGTGTTTAGTTCAAACCCACGTAGTACGTGCCTTACAGATGCTTAGGTTAAAATTGGAACTGTTTGATTTGTGGATTTTAGTTGTAGGTCTTTCTGGAGGTCTGATCCCTCGTTTGTACTGTTGTGACGTAATTGCTTAATGCATAGAAGCCATTTAAAAGTGCTTTTTATTTTAATTACAGAATTTTTATTACAGAAAGATTTTTAGATTTTTAAAAGTTTCTTACACTCACCAAGGCTGCAAATAAATGCAATTTGTGCATAAATGTAATATGCACAATAAACGCGAACTTTTGAAAGATAGTGTGTATATATACAAGATAAAAATCTTTCACAATTCCATCCGTGTTGTCTAATGTCTCTTTCATTACTCTCTCTTTTCTTACTGTTCTCACTCACACACACTTAGCCAGGGCAGTTTGTTGATGAGCACAGCAGATGTTGCAGTCAGGGTCCAGGGAGAATCAGTGGCAGCAGAAATGGTGGGCACTATTAAACTATTAGATATGAAGAGGGTTTGACTCTCTCCCCAACTCCATTCCATTGATAAACCCCTGAGACAAGACGGATAGAGGGAGAAAGCCTTCTGACTCATGCATTTGGCTTAGAGATGGAACAAAGTAAAGATCTTCCTCTTTTTATGTATGCATAAGTACCCACAGTCACAATCACATGCCTGCGTTTAACTAAATAAACCTCTCAACCACTGAAAACCTATCTGCTGGTTTTCTCTCAAGATAAGGCAGTGGAGAATCTGAAGAAAAACTGAATCTGGCTGCCACGTGTGCATTCATATTAGAACAGCTCGCAATCTGTCGCCAAATGAAACTGGCATGGATGACACAAAGTGAGGGAGCATGGGATGAAAAGATAGCGTGTAGGAAGCAGAGAGAGGAGCTTGGACTGATTGCCATTGGAATTCCCCGAGTAACTTTATTGAGTCCAAATTGATTTACACCATCAAAGTCTGGCATCCAGAATGCCAGCCTTGTGTAAATGCCAATCAAGACTCATTCAGAATGATGAGGCCTGATTTCCAGTCCAGGACAAAGCCAGAGAGTGTGGATTTTACTCAAGATAAGCAGTGTATTTATGGTAATGGAAATGAGGCGTTGAGGGATGAACGTGCAGCCAATTGAGTGGGTCTTGGGTTACATCAAATTTTTTGCATCCTTATTTTATTATTATTTTATTCAAAGTGAATTCATAGATGAGATCCATCTTTGGTGACGGTGCCATAGTCAAATAGGAAGGGGTCCACTTTACTAATATAGAAAAAAACACAGAAAATTAAAATGGAAGGGGTGATAAAGTGGAAGGCAGTAAAGATATTATAGTCTTAAATCATGTAAGGGGAAGGGGATTCAAGTCTTGTAAAAAGAGGGATGAAAAGCAAAAGTGTTTATGTGGTTTGTGAAGGGCTTGGGCTATTTGGGGTGCCTCTGGACAAACTGAAGCAGCAGTCTGGACAGATTAGAAGAGCTAAGAGGCTGAGGGCTGATGGGTATTTTTAGAGTGATTTAGAGTTCCTGACAATAATGATGATGATAACACTGCCGTTATACAGATTGAGAGAGAGAGAGCGAGAAATGCCACACAGCATCTCTCAACAGTTTTCCACTCTTGAGGATTCTTGAAATATGATCTTGAACTTTAAAAAGGGTTGTTTAACAGGGGTTTGTGATAGCTTTGCAGGGGCTCCCCAAGTTGTTTGGTCTCAAACTAATTTTTGTGAAAAATTTTAAATGTTGATCAGAAATGCAAAATGAATTTAAGATAAATATAAAGTTTTCAGCAGTGATGTCTGAATTGTTAATTTGAATCAAATCTTTTCACAGTTCACAAATGATTCATTTCTTGAGTTCAGCTCACTGACTCAGTGATCCATTCATTGACATTATCACCAGTAGCTTAAATATCAGTCTTTTACCTCATTTTACCTCATACTCGTTTTACTTAGCATTATAATTATTCCTTCAATGACCTCTGGAAATATAAACAGTACACTACCATGTCTCTAAGATGTTTTTTAAGTCTCTTCTGCTCACCAAGCCTGCATGTATTTGTTCATAAATACAGTAAAAATAGTAATACTGTGAAATACTATCAGAATTTAAAATATATAAGAAGCTTTACACTAATGCAGATTTATATTGCTTGCACCAGACTGGCTTGATTATGTAACTTTAAATGTGTTTTCTTATTAATTACTGTAGTGCATATGTATTCAGTAAATATTCATATTCACATCCTCTCCACAGGTAATTCCCAGATGGGGGCCACTATAGTAGATGCCCTGGATACCCTTTACATAATGGGCCTCCACAATGAGTTTAAGGATGGCCAGGAATGGATCGAGCAAAACTTGGATTTCAGTGTGGTAAGTAGCCATGACTTGGACATAAACACACACACACAAGCTTACCAGCAACACTTGTCTTTGTAGGTTTGGAGGCAAAGTGTTCTTGTTTTTGTTTATAGACACAGATACATCTCAGCGGTAAGCCTTATACTTGGCAGCTGGCTGACACAACTGTATTAACAGTCGTTCGACACCCCATAATTCCTCAAAGACTTCAGTCCTCAGTGTGTGTGAATCTTTCAGGTTTTGATCAGATTGTGGTGGCACTCTGTGTAAAACGTGTTGCGACAAAGGAGTTGATGTGACACATCATCGTATCCAGGAGACAAGACTGGCGCCATGGAAACAATGTGAACCGCCCGGAGCTCTGCCTCCAGAATTAGCCAATGATGTTGAGGAAAAAATGGCAGACAAAAGAGACGTCAGAGAATGAAGTGGGGGCCGGCGAGTGGCCCCAGGGGCCCCGTGTCTCCTGCTCTCCTTCTCTGTCTGCATTCACGTCCTGACCCATTAATGGGATATCTCCAGTTTCTCTCCCTATCAATTGTTTTTCCGGCCTCTCCTCCATCAGATATGGAGAACCTGTATGGTCGTCTTGGCTTTGGCTTCTCTCTGGTATCTGTGTGTTGCGTGATTTTTCTCCCGTCTTTCTTCTGCCACCTTTCTTTGAGAAGATCTAGTGGACTCTCAGCGCCTGAAATCTCCTCTGTGTGTTTAGTTCATCTTTTTGGCTTTTCGAGCAGTGACCTAATTTCTTCTCTCTCCCCCTCCTCACTGTTACTTTTGGACAAATATATCTTACAAAGCATGTGCACTCTGAAGGATGACTCATGCTTGGACCGTTGGGTCTGGCCGTAGAGGGCTCAGCATGTCTCAGTGGGATGGATGTGTTGGAAAGATTTTTGGAGGAGGGCAATAAACCGCAAAGCATAAGTGAGGAAGGGAAGCGTGTGCAAAATGCTGTTTCCACGAAAATATATTAAGTAGCACAACTGTTTTTAACAGTTAATAGTAAGAAATGTTTCTTTAACTGCAAATGAGCATATTAGAATGATTTCTGTAGGATCATGTAACACTGAAGACTGAAGTAATGGCTGCTGAAAATTCAGTTTTGCATCACAGGATTAAATGACATAAAAAAAAAAAAATATATATATATATATATATAGAAAACCACCATTTTAAATTGTTATATTTTTTCACATTACTGTTTTTACTGCATTTATGATTAAATAAATACAGCCTTGGTGAGACGTCTTTCAAAAACATTTTTAAACATCTTGAACCCACTTTTTAATTGAACTGAATGCAGAAATTCATGGTAACCAAGATTAATAAATACAATAAAAGTTAATTATTATTTCGTGGTACGTAATGTATTATTTGTGAATTTATTAAATGTTTAAATTAATTATATTATAGTGCTGCCCATCATTTTATAATTGAATAAATAGTTCAACCAAAAAAGTAGGGGAAAAAATTACTCACAAACATGACAGTTTCATCTGTTTTTGTCTATACAATGAAAATCAGTGGGGTCCAAACCATCTGATTGGACCCCTGATGACTTTAAAAAATAATAATAATAATTTTAATTTGCTTAGACATTTAAAAAATAACATCTTTTGTGTTCCACAGAAGTAAGAAATGCACTCCCTCTCTCTGTCTCTCCCTGTCTCTCTCTCTCTCTCTCTCTCTCTCTCTCTCTCTCTCTCTTTCTGTT